ATGCCGACTTAATATCCAAGGAGGAGATATTTTCCAAATCGTGCTATTGGCGATTGAAGTAAAATATGTTTCGTTCTAGTTTATGTCACCTGTGTGATTTTACCTTAAAATTGGAGCTTGAGCGAGTATGATGAGCACTGAACTGCACAAAATCGAAAAATGTTGAAGTGGTCCGATGGATACCTCACAGACTTGATGAAAATATATGTCAGCAATTTCTAGTTCCATCATCAAAGGTAACAGTTTAAGATGAATTAAAACGATTTCGATAGTCCATAGAAGTATCATTCACTATGAACTTGTCGCCCTTCTCTGAAGTAGCTCAAGGCATTTCACATCAGCAATAAGTAAGGATGCCACACAGGAGAACAATAGAGCAGCTGAGATCTTACAAGTGAAATGTACAGGGACCGCTTGGCAGACTCCGCCATAGAACTGGGAGAAGACTCTGCTAAGAGGCCAAGCATTTTGTAAGCCCTTGATGTTATTAACTGATAGTGTGGTCGCCATTCAAATCAGCTGACACAAGTAGTCCAAGATCTTTCTGTTGTGTTTGGAGCAAATTTTGTTTCCATTCAAACTGTAGTTAAATATTAGAGGAGAGCGTCTAGTAGACTAGAAAAATGGACAGCAGAACACTTTTCCTCATCAGTGACATGCTCCAGGTGGTACACCACTCAGAGAGCATTGTAAGATCATTCTGGAGAAGTGAGCAATCACGCAGGAAGAAATAGGCATCACACACTTTGCATCATCCCGAGAGTAACATCATCGATTTTTCGGAACATCCGCAGATCATTTATAAATGATGAAGAGTAGAGGACCAAGTATACTACCTTGCGGAACGCCAGAGATAACAGGTAAAGTACTGTACACACATGCAGATATACACACACACACACACACAGACGAGAGCCGGTCACTAGCTATGTAGGTGGCCAGCCTTGAGAACTGGGGCAGTGGGTTGCCAACTCTCCACACACACATACCAGACATAGTACATTGTGTGCACTTTGTGCTTCAACTAATGTTCAAATTGCTGTTTTTTTGTTACAACCTCAATGGATTCTAGGTAGATTATAATATTTCTCACTCGCATTTGTTTGCCATTCTTCGTTCTAGTACTTACCAGTGAGAGGTTCGGAATAGGATCTTATGGAGTCAGCCATCTTGGTTTCTTTCATGACATCTAGTGCCCAAATGAGTCTCCTCCAGCTTGCCATTGGGTCGGTGTTAATCCAGTAAGAAATCAGCTGTTTCTTCTGCTCCATCTCATTTGGGAACTTCTTTCTAATCTCCTCTCTCTTTGAACATGGTATGAGGAGCCAGTATCCCAGTCCCTCCTCCTCCCACCAATCCCCCACCTCCCTCACTTCTCTCATCACATTGGAGGGAGTGAGAGGAACACCTGCAGCAACACACACCAGAGAGATTGTATATGTGTTTGTGTAGTAGTAAGTGAGCCCTAGAGATTAGCCTCATAGCTATACCCAGCTCTGTCTTTTACTTGAAAATAAATATATTATTTCTCAGTGCATTAGAGGGGTATTGGTGCAACAGCTAGCAAACACACAGTAGGAACCAAAGCTCACAGTAAAACAGGCTGTGAAGAAAATACACAATATTCTAGACTAATGTTAGTACAGCCTGGCTCAAAGTCATGGTGCTGTATTTGGGGGAATAGGTACTATGCACACGCAATACAGCATGTTAAATGGTGGGGTACTTGCAGGAGAAAAGGACAGAGAATGGAACAATTATGGCTCTTTAAGGAGTAGAGGGGTAGGGTCATTTATTTTCAGGGAAGTGATTGCTCCCCTTCACCAACCTCCGTGACTGACCTATAAACATGAAAAGGTGTGAGAAGGTCTAGCCTCATATCCAGACACTGCTCTCAGGGGAGGAAATTAGGATCTGAGGAATTCCTTGTGTATAAGAATGTCTGTCCGACGTAATGGTGACGGCCATCTAAAGCGTCTTTCATGCTTCCTACATACATAAGTAGCCTTACATACAAGACAATACATTATTATACAGGACAGTGATGCTATGCAGGTGAGTGAGGAAATTTCGGTTACAGTGTGTACAATAGTCAGCTTCCCCACCAACTGAAGCATACTTATTGGTACACCTGCAGCAACACACACCAGAGACAATAGTCAATGTGTTTGTGTAGTAGTAAGTGAGCCATAGAGATTAGCCTCATAGCTATACCCATATCTCTCTGTGCATTTGAGGGGTATTGGTGCAACAGCCAGAGCAGGAACCCAAGTAAAACAGGCTGCGAAGAAAAATGCAGTATAGCTGCATAATTCTACACTAATGTTAGTAAAGCCTGGCTCAAAGTCATGGTGCTGTATTTGGGGGAATAGCACAGGTATATAACGTGGTTCGATACTTACGGTAGAGAATGGCACAATTATGACTTTATAAGGAGTAAAGGGGTAGGGTCATTTATTTTATCAGTGACGTGTTTTCTCCCCTTGGCCGACCTAAAAACCTTCAACACATGTAAAGGGGTGAGAAGATCTAGCCTCATATCCATACAGGGAAGGGAATTACTAGGATCTGAGGAAATCCTTGTGTGAGAGAAGTAATGGTGACGACCATCTAGTGTGTCGTTCGCACTTCCTCCATACATAAGTAGCCTTACTTCAAGATAATACAGTGATTACATATATGTGGGTGAGTCAGGAAATTTCGGTTACACGGTGTGTGTATGGTGTAAATAGTCAGCTCCCCCCAGCTGTAATTTTTAACCTGAGAAGCATACTTACGGGTACAGTAGCATGTACATAACTCCTGTGGGTGACATCTGAATATGTCGTCTATGCTGAAAGCACGGACCACTAAGCCCAGCTCTACATTATGGCTGAGAGAAGCCAACCATGAAAGTGGGAGTGAGTTGCCTAACTCTAAAGGGGGCGTGTCTAACAGTGCAACATTCCAAAGCAGACACAATGCAAGCAGAGGGGCTTCCTCACTTACTTCTCTTTCCTCTCCTGCTCCTGGAGCTTTCAGGACTCTTCCTTCTGCTCAGTGGCACATGTTTGGAGTCTGCAGGTATTATAGTTGGTATAAGTTTATGAGCTAGCAGCACATATAACTGTCTTCAAACATTGTGTGTTTTTTCTGCTTTTTTACTTCCTCAGTAGGTATACAGTCTTCCAGCACGTATAATTATACTTATCACGCAATACTCTGAGTGTAGCAACTAATGAGGAAGTATATCATTGCATACTTACATCTCTTCCCTTGTCTGGGACTACGAGGACTCCTCTTTCCTGGCTTGACGTCCGCCATACCCTGATTGCTGCTACGTCAAAATAGCAAGCAGCAGGCCGCAAAAAAGCAACCCAGCCCCGGCCCCCCAAAAAGTATCAATCACGTGATTTGAGCGCATGCGCAAAAAAACTTTCTAGATCCCACTAGACTGCCTGCAGCGACGACGTGTTACGAAGGCAGTACACTCCACTGAATCTTGCAATATTATATATACACTGACATTTTCATTCTTTCATCTCTCAGTATGTACCCTTAACCAGCCTGTATATTATACAGCCTGTAGAGAGAGAGACTACTAACATTGTCTTCTGGAGGGGAGCTCACGTTTATTTGCAGTCTGTGTGAATGTTTGTTTCTCTATGCAGTGGTGTTTGTGTATTGCTTTTTCTCTCCGTTTGTCTGATTGTCGCCCTGTGTTTGTTGTCTCAATTTAAAAGAGCACCACCTTTATATAAGGATGCACAACAGGTTAGCACAAAAAAGAGGGATTTGGCGATTTTCTGGTGGGATAGGCAGCGATTATCAAGCAAAAAGTTGGATGGTTGGTGGGTAAAAAGTTATTCTGTAGCTGATACTTGTCTGTTGCTGCATTATATTCCACAATAGCCAAACTGTTGAGGATGGTGAACTTTCCAGACAGCGATGGAGTGGGGGAACTGTGACATGGGAAGGATGTTATCAACATGCCGCTGCAAAACTGCAAATCATCACTTTTCGGCCTTGCCTTGATGTGTGCATAGGTTAGCTCATGCAAGTTGCAGAGTTGTGTGTGTATAGGACAAAAGTAAACTGCAAACTTTTAAAAGAGCCCACCACTGACTGTAATTCTCAGCAGAAAGGCGACAGTGTTATTATGATACTCTGTGTTTGTATAGGTGTTCTGTTAGGATTGTGCTGGTGTTCATCCAGTGTGGAAGGTAAAGATAATTGTGATCTCATGGCGAATAATACAGGATGTAGTAAAATCTGGGGTATTGATTGAATCTACTATCCTATTCAGGTGTGGAGTTTCTCCTCAGAGGAGACTCCATCCCAACTGATGGCAGTGGACGCCTTCTGATCACTGATATCAGTCTCCACAATGGACAGAATAGTACTAGTGATGAGGATGCTCTCTGCTGTCACTCAACCAAAGATGTTACGATGATCCGTGAATTAGACATAGGTGACTGGTATCTAGAGCCTGACTTTGAAACTACCACTGACTTTGAAAATAACACTGCCTATGGAAAGAGAATTGATGGAGACAATGATCGAGGCTGGACCAGGAACAGAGAATATTCTGTTAATGTAAGCGGCATTTACTATCGACTAGTGAGATTGAAGCGAGTGTCGAAGACTGCTGTGGAGGGGAAATTCACATGTCATATTCCTGGAGATAGCAACAACAACAGGTCTCTTCTCATACTATACCCCAGTGAGTATGGAACAGATAGCATCGTGACATAGGTGAATAACATTGTAATTCCAGTCCTGTCAGTGGAGGCATTCATTGAGGTGGTGACTGCAGATCAATTCAGAGTCCACTGTATCTCCACTGGTGGTAGAGTTCTGAATATGTCTGTCACTGGACCACATGGAGTGGTCTCTCCTCTCAGTGATATACAGGCAGTTGGCACTCAGAGATGGATGGGTAATGATAGCTACTCTGGTGTCACTGGGACACTAGAAGGTGCAGATGATGGAGACACTTACAACTGTACTGCATCTAATGGAGTATCATCTGCAACTGACAGTATTGTAATAGGAGGTATATACCTAACATTATCACTGTCTCATTCCCTTCATGGCAGTATTATTCTTCAGCTGTCAGTAAACCAGTGATAGAGTCACTAGAGAGGGTCTCCCCCACTGTTGTGAGAGTGGAGTGGAGTCAGCCACCAGGAGGGGCTGCAATAACTGGCTATGTTGTGTTCTACTATGATGGTAGTGTTACCAGGAATAAGAGCGTACCCTCCACTAGTACTGAGATCACAGTTAGCTCTGCTACATTAATTTACGTCATCTCAGTGATGGCTCTCTCAGAGGAGCCGTTCCTACCTCGAAGGAGTGCCTGGGAGACTATCACGCTGTGTAAGTGTTACGATGAACACACACAACAAAGGGCTACACAAACACAGCACTTGCACCTTTATATGGAATTAATAAATCCCAACACATCTAGTAACACAAACACAACATAGGATGGTAGACCCCCCTCTACCACCCAGGGAGTCCAGAAGGTGTGGTGGTGGATGGCTCAGAGAGCAGCTCAGTCAGAGTGTCCTGGGAGGCAGTGGACGATGCTGACTACTACACAGTCTCATTCAGTGCAGCAGTGGGAGATGATCAGGAGGGACTGTGTAGAGATGATTCTCATTCTGCTAATGTGACAGTAGTTGATGTTCCCACTGCCAGTATTACTGTGGGGGAAGATGTAGGATCAAATGACACCTCCTCGTTGAGAGCATACACCACATACTCAGTCACTGTGGTAGCATTCAGTGACAAGTGGGGCAAAACTGCGGGGAGTGAAGCTACCAGGTTGACTACGCTTCAGAGAGGTAAGCAAGTAATGTAGGTAAAATTGGTAACTCTTCTCTCTCATTTGCAGGAAGTTCAGCAGTTCCTGGCAGAGTCACAGTCAGTTCTCTTAGCTCCACAGTCATCTCAGTCCAGTGGAGTGGCCTCTCTCCATGTAGACTTGTCAATGGTGTCATTGTAAGGTACAGAGTACAGTACAGGGCTCAGTCCAGTGGACTGGTAAGGAGTAAAGAAGTGACTGGAAACTGGAGCTCAGGAGCAGAGACTGAACTGAGTGGGCTCATCCCCTCCACCAACTACTCCATTGCAGTAGCTGCAGTCAATGAACAGGGAGATGTGGGTGTCTACAGTCATCCTGTCACTGTGAGGACACTGCCAGGTAAAGTTTATCTGTATAGCAGCAACCATGCAAACACCTGGTTTGCCTAGGTTCAACAAGTAAAGAGTCAAAGAATTCTGTTATTATCGGTGCTACCATGGCATGTATTGGAATAGTATTGGGATTTAGTGGAGCTGTCATTGGATGCCTTTTCTATAACAGGTAAGTGACCATTTTGCATAATTCCTTTACAACTATTATTACTGAAGTTACCTAGGTCATCACTATCAAAGCAACGAGTTAACACCAAAGTGAACACAGAGGATAATCAAGCATATGGTGTGCACGAAAGACCAAATCCTAATGAGTCATCAACAGAGGAGACAAAAGACGAGTAGTTTGCACTATCACTAGAGCAGATAGCTATACCTTTATAGCGTGCTGACAGTATGTAGCTGTGAGTGTGTAGTCTTAATTTTCAGTGTTTTAATACAGTGAATTTACAGTGAGTTAACTCACTTCCATTTACACACGTGGAGTAAATTGCATCGCATGCATAGGGAAGGGATTATTCTCACGCACCACAGCAAGGCCATATACCTAATTAACAGGACAAAATTCCAACAGTGTCACGGCCGAAACTCCGGCCGTGCTCCCTATGTGCTTACTACTCTGCTTCTTACAAATGCTTTTCGCATTGGGCATTGGTTTGTAGCTACGTGACTCTCATCCTGGAAGGCAGTGAATTACTAGTGCAGCAGTGAGAGATATCGGTGTGCGCAGACGTTTGAACGCTCGAGAGGAGCAACGCGCGCGCATGCGCAGTAAGCTTGGGCGTTTTCAGCGGCCCACGGTATGACAAATCACTGAAGACACTTCATAATAATAGTGGAAGTTAGAAGTTGCAAAAGGAATTCCTGTAGATGTAGAAGAGTGACCTGTTATAGCACTAAACTGCTGCAAGGTTGAATGGAGCTGAATGACAATGCCAGAAGTTTTAAAAGTTTTAAGAGATCCCATTGTTATTGGTGTTGCAATAGCTTGTGCTGGAGTACTTATTGCGGCCTGTGAAGTCTGCATTGTATGTCTTTTGTGTAACAGGTCAGTGTAGATGTTTTTCCATTTAGGCTGTGTGTATAGCTATACTATTCTGTTTAGGCTATATATGGGTACATAAAAACTACACATTGGTAGAATCTTTCTCAAGTTCCATGCTTTCACCACTATGTATAATACTGAAACAGATCTTCACCATGTGGAAAGAAGAGAACAAGAACAGATGGCAACCAGCCAAATGGTGTGTCACCGACTGCAAGGATGGATACTACCGTGACACTCTCACCACCAGAAGAGGCTCTGTATGAACAAATTCCCTGTAACGAACTATGAGACAAACAGGTCCACTGAACTACACTGGTTTATTTTTCAAACATCACTGAAACACTGTATAAGAGTGTTCCGCAATTGTCTTTACATTTTCTGTGATTGTTACAGAGCTATTGC